CTGGGCAGTGTGCTGGGCACGCTTGTCTTCTGAATGAGGCCTTTGCCTGTCATACAGTTGTGTTCGGCAAAGCTTCTCCAGGCTTAGCTTGTGGACAGACCTATTTGTACGTCTTTTCCGTCACCGTAACAAACAGCCCTCAAACAAGTAGTGGCTCTGAGCCAGTCTGTTCCACCTCCTCTCCTGAGCTGCTGTGCTGACCACCCTGCAAGAAGCCTTGCCCCCAGGTCTGCCAGGCACCTTGCTGCTCTGTGATTGCTTTTTGTGCTCTGCTCGCCACACATCTGCAAGCAGGCTTTGGAGAGGGGTGTTCTGGGGGTGGAGGACACCTTGGAGAAAAGGCAGTGTGTGCGTGGAACTGGTCTGGGGGTGGCACAGAGCTCTGGTCTGTGTGTGATGGTGAGCCTGCCCGCAGCGCAACCCTTGCTGTGTCCCCGTGACGTTCTCCGGTACTTAACCTTTGTGCAACCCAGAAGCAATGCCAATAGCCTGCGCGTTTTTACAACGTGCTGGACTCTGTGCCCTGGACTCTGTTTTTAAACCTGAACGTGACCATCTTCTTGATGCATTTCTTCTCCCAGGTATTGTTTCAGTCTCATTTATTGCAGCAACCAGAAGCAAAGATTGCATTACTTGCTTCTTAAATGTATGACTCGGATTATTCTTGGATTATTTTTTGTTATATCCAGCAGAGCAGATAAGACTTGCTTCACATTGTAGTACTTAAATTACTCCCTGAAATGTTGATGTTGAAGTATTTGTTTAAGGCTTTATCTGTATTAAGGTCTTGCACTGTGTTGGCTCTTCTCTTGTAACAACTCTTCTAGCAAGAATGTAATTCCGGCAGTTAGTGCTAACTTGGTTTGGTGTCTTTTAATAGACAGAACCCAGTTTTCTGTGCGTTTTACCATGGGACATTTGTGAAAGGTTATTTTTGTCAAATGACGTTTTCTTTTCATGCCATTGTTCACTGAAGAAGTTTAAACTGGAAGCTGGTGTATGCTGTTTGAGGTGGTTTTTGCTCCTGATTGCATGCCTGGACTGAAGGAAATTGGAAGCCATGTCCAAACTGGCATTTTAGCTGAATTGCCAGTTCGGTGTGTTTGTATTTGGGGCATGAGAATGGTTGTTAGAGCTCCCATTTGGGCTAAGTGGGAATGGGAGGTCCGGGTGCCAAGTGTTCCAGCAGCTGATGTTAAAAGCAGTCAAACCTTTGCAATTCCATGGCATGTAGTCTAGCTTTTTTCTGTGTATTCCCCATAATTCCTGATGGGAATCGCTGCCAGCTCCAGCACCATCTACTCCGCATATGCTGCCAAACTGGATTTCCTACCTGTCCCTCTGAAAGAGCAGCTCTGGCGCACAGACTCCTCGCATGGGGTGGGCAGGGGGAGGCTGTTCTGACAGCGCCCTTGTCTCGGGCCAGCTGGGGTGCTGCTCTTCTCGGCTGGGCGGCCAGCATGTGGTGTTTGCTGGCTCAGGAGGGCTTGCCTTAGGGTGTCCTCAAGCAAAATGTGTTGGTTATAAGGGTGCACTGTAGTTCGCGTGGAATGTAAGGCACACACCGGGCACAATGTGCAAAGCACGCCCATGCAGGGCCCATGAAGTGCGGTCCCTGCTCTGTGGCTGTGTCGGTTCTGTAACAAAGCAGTTTGGAAGCAGCTGCCCCTCTGCATCTCTGCTTTTTGGTATCACAGATTCCCAGCAGTACATGAGCATCCTTGCACAGGAGAGGGGTGAAGGGTGCGGGTCCAGGAAACAACAGCATTCCTTGTGAGTGTAAAACCAAGCCTCGTTGCTGCTAGAGGCATGGCTCTGTCAGTCAAGTAGAGCAGACTTCCTAAAACTGAATGTAGGTTATTGCAGGCCCTGCTTAAAGTGATTTGGGGAAAAGCAACATCAGTCTTCCCTCCTTGCTTTAAAGCAGACTTTTCTTTCTTAGCCTTTCCATGCATAGGAATTACTGCCCATGTGTATCGCGTTGTCCAGATGTAAGGATGTGGCACAGGACTAGGGAACACTCCAGAGAGGGATCATCCAAGTCTGAGATGTCAACACTGCCTCGGCTTTGTGTGTTGATCCTTAGAGCAGCAAAGGCTTGAGGCTGTTCTGAAGCAGCCACTTGTACACAGACACCTCTTCTCTTAAAATTCATGTTTGGCTTCGGAAGCACTCGTCCCTGTGGAGGAGGTGGGTTCTGCCACATCTTCTGAAGGCCACCGCTGGCCGGGGGTCTCCCCTTGCCCCCTGGGTGATGGCATGTGGGGCCCAGAGGTCTCACGGCTGGGCATCTGAGCGGGACGAGAAGGGCTGCTGCCTGGGTCTGCTCTGCCACGCGCACGGCTGTGGTGCCTGCTGACCGGCCTGGTCTGGTTGCCTATGGGGTGACCTGTCCTGGCTTGGGGGACCCCAGTGCCGATGGCCTGGAAGCAAAGGTTTACAGGGTGGCCTCACGCTGATGAGAAACACCTTGAAAGGGGGAGGTCCAGCACTGTCCCTGTTCTCAGAGCCGTGTGAGCTCCGAGGGAAAGCAGGCTTCAAGTCCTCTGAAGGGTTTTAGGATGTGTTTCCCACCAACCTTGCATTGAGCTCACCTGCATTGTCCCCGTGTAACTCGTGTTTTGCACTGCATCTCTAGTCTGACACTTGCTCCTGTCCCTGGAATCAGCCCTCTGGGCACAGGAAAGCAGTGCCTTCATTTCTGTGCTGGATTCCTGCACTGCTTGAGTCACCTAGGGAAATTCTTTTTACCCCTTTTGGGCTGTGTCTTTTGGATAGCGTTTAGTAGTATACAAATTATAAGCACATTTTCAATGATGTGTATTAAAGAGGCACCTTTTATTTGTATTAATCACATTTGATAGACAATTTGGTGCCTGCAGTTCTCTGTAACTTGTAAGTGTCTCACTTTGGGTGTATAAATTGTTAACCCTTTCAAACTTATCAAATATGGCTAAATAAAAAAAAAAGATGCTTAGGATAGGAAATTAGCAGCTTAATTACAGTACACTTAATCCACTGTAAGTGCCCTCATCTGTTTTACTGCAGGGTTGTTTGCTTCCCAAAGCTGAAACTTGAGCATGAGCGACCATTTTTTCTCGGCAATGGAGGCAGTTTTGCATGGCAGTTCTCTCGCTGTACCCAAATGCATGCACTAACTAACTATGCAAGCATCTAAGACAAACCATAGACTGCGCTTTCGGTATCAGAAGCTGCTAGGTAGGCTCCGGAGCGCTGCTTTGAGGCTGTACTTCTGTTTCTTGGCGCCGCTGCGTGTCAGCACATAGGAGCATGTCCCTGGGTTCCTGCTTTGTTTGCACATCTTTGATTCTTTCCTTTGCAGGATTCTGCATTACTGACAAGGCTGGAGTGTAGCATAACGTCAAAGGGATCTGAAATGTTGAAATGAGAACAAACTGGTTTTCTGTATTGTATTTTTTCTTTTTTTTTTAACAGGGAGAACCTGATCAGTGTTCTGTATGTAGCCTGCCATTTTCCATGTAACTTTAGTGACACGTTCTGCGTTGTGAGAAGAGGCAGTCACCTGTAGGCATACGAGCACTCAAAAGTTTTTATTGAATTTCTGTGCTAAGGGAGCGGTTTCCAGTTGTCGGTGTCCTGCCTGTGCTGGTAATGGGGCTTCTGCCCGCCGGGCTGGGCCCCAGCTGCCGGCGGGGGGGGCTCTGCGGGTCCCGCTTGTGCCCCCAACAAAACCGTGGTGGCATTTGCTGGTCTGAGCCATGCTCCCATTCGGCTGCAGATCCCACGGGGGTGGCTGCATGTATGGTGCGGGGCCATAGCCTGTGGGGCTCCCCGGGCAGAGCGGGCGGCCGCCTGCTGGGGCGGCTGGCTCGGGGGCAGCTTGGCGTGGTTTGGCAAGCGGCACCTTTGGTTAGCAAGAGGTGCAGGTCCGGGGATCCTCCTGGGCTGCCGAGGTGCCACTGCCTCGCAGCACCCCTGTCTGCGCAGAGCCGGTCTGAGCTGTGCCTGGGTGTCGGGCGCGTCCGTGGCTCTGTGCCCATCCCCCTCGGTCAGCCAGAATGGAGAGGGCTTGGAAACGACATTCCAAATAATTTTACTGTTGGTTTTTTTTTTGTATCCTTGTCATTTGCCTACTAATCCAAAATAATTTGGTGGTATCTAATGTTGTCTGTGGAGGGAACTGAAATTTAGTTTTAATCTGTGGTGAGATGAAAGTACTACATGGTCTTCTTAATAAAAGCACCGTAAAGCATTTACTATTAGGAGCTTTCTTTTGTAAAATAAAAGCACCTGAAGACTTGTACAATATCTATATTAGGTCTAAAGGTTTGGGGAATCTTCTATTTTTTTAAAGGCGATAGCACTCAATTTACCTGCAAATAGTGTTTTTTAAAAGACACAGATTAAAACTAAGCGTAACCACAAATTCCGTTTCACTCGAGGCCCTGCAGCACAAACGTGTTGCAAGAAGGTTCGCGTTAGGTTTGTATGGCATTTGTGCAGTGCAATAAGAAACCATTTTTAGGTGCTACATTGCGTTGGGTAGGGTGACACAAGGGAATACAGGCTACAAGCGGCGAGATTATTTTCTTGTGGCCTTCCAAGTATTGATTTGTACAGATTTGCTCACCAACTGTGCCTCACCATTGGTTAAAATTGAATTTTAAGTCCTGTTGCAAATGCAGTTTCTCTTCTGGACACAATGTCAGATTTTACACTGGAATATCTACAGTTCGAAAAACTGCATGTCACATCACTGTACACTGATCCTGGGACGTGGGGCTTGCCCACACCTTTGATATTCTCTTCTGTATTTTAATGTTTCTGAACTGTACAGTAATCTGGAAAGCAGGCTGTCTTTACTTGGGATTGAACATTGTACCATAAATTTTAAATTATTTGAGGACAAGTGCATGAGACTG